AAACAACAGAAAATTTGACAAAATCAGCAACATTAGAAACACCAGCTGCAATAAAAACAGCAGGAACAATGAAAACAAAAAGTGAATGAGCATTATTAGGCATCTAAGGGGAACATTTCCACCAGGTAGGTACAATCCTTAGAACAAGCAACCGTGGGAGACCGGGAGGGCAGTATTTGCACAGGGAGACAGCTCAGAGGGCAGGAACCCACAGGAAAGGAGGACACAGGGAAAAGGGAACGGCAGGAGGAAGTGGGAAGAGAGCTGTTACATTATAGGGATTGCAGTCAATATCATGAAACAAAATGTGTACGAACCGTTGCATGGAAAATGAATTTGCTCTGTAAATTTCCACCCAAATCACAATTAAAAAAAAAAAAAAAGTAAATTAGCATAAAGTTTTAGCCTTGTAAGTACATGTATTGATGCATGGAAGTTAGGCTTACAAGCTATGTTTTTGTTATTGTAACTAACTACAGAGATATTTTTATAAAAGAAAATAATACATTTCTGCTGGAACACTTCAAAAATTTTGTAGACAGTCATCTTGCTATCCCCGCTTCTGACAGGGTCACCCAGTGCAGCCCATACCTTGCCCACCCCTCACCCGCCTTGTGACACTGCTGATCCTGAGCCTCACAGCCAATCCCCAGACTCTTCCGTTCCAGATGGAGTGTGTCCCAGGGACCACACAGAGCTTTGTTTAAATGCTCACATTAGCAGAAGGATGGGGATCCCACTGAATCATCATCCACTGTCAAAAAGCCAAGAGTTGTTCAGAATGAAAACAGTTTTTCCCAAAGAGGCAAAATCCCTAGTACTAATTAGTGGCAGTGGCGTGTGTATGTGCATGTGGGGGTGGGATGGGCGGTAATCCTGTGCCTCTATTGTTGTAAAATAGGGGCAATCCTTTTGCCAAAGGTCTGAGCCATAGACTGAGTAAACTTGACCCCCTAAAACCCTTCATTGTGCTCACGTGTGTGTGAGTCCTGCAGGAATTGTGGAGCCCTTCTGCCCCATGTTGGGTCTAGACACTTCGAATGAATAAATTAGAGGGTGATGGTAACATGGTCATTGTCATTGCAGACAATGTGGTATTTATGGTGTTATGGGCACTGGCTGTTTTCCTCTCAAGGCTCAATAACAACAGTAAGTTGGCTCTTTCATCATGAACCGCTGGGGTGCTCTTTATACACAGAGGCTGTCCCAGCTGAAAATAGCCCAAACATCTTGCTATTTTCTCTTTCCCAATTTTTGCCTATTCATACCCAAGAATAAAAGACTCAGCCTGTTCAGCCTTCCCAAAGAGTTAAAGAACATTATCTCTTGGATTTCCAATTGCCAATAAAGGGCATCCATCCATGTTCACTTTGCCTGGATAAGGCATTCATACATTCAATAAAACTATTGAACACCTACTATGTGCAGATGCTGTGGTAGGTGCTAGGTGAAAAAGACAAAGGCCTAAAGTATACAGATGGTAAAAAAGCCTAAAGGCGACTTCCCCAAGTCCCTGAAGGAGTTGATTTTGGTATGTGCATCTTACTGACTTCTGGTCCTGTGCTCTGACCACAAGCCTTCACCACCAGACCACACTTCCCCAAATAAATAACTACTTCTGCATGCTGGGGACAGGCTGTTTGTGGCAGCATTTACGTAGGCGGCATAGACAGTACAGCCTTTCACTTCATGTTGCAACAACACCAGGCTAAACAATGTGCACCAGCTTCCAAAGTTACTGAATAAACGCATGCTTCACGTGGCTTGGGTTCAAGTGCCACAGGAAGACTGCAGAATGGGAAGTCTGTGTCCGATAAGGAAAAGCTGCTAGGGGAAAGTGAGTTCGTTTTCAATTTAGGTTAAAATCAGATGTAGGATTTGATCACTGTTGGATCCTCAAATAGGAGGAACGGAACACATAATAATCATAAACTGTAGAAGGTTTGCTTTTACATACTCAGACTTGTTTGGAACGCAGAATCCCTGCCCTGGAAGGCCTTCCTGTTAAAAGGTAGCACCTTGCTCACAGGGGGCTCACACACTTGTTTCAAAGTCACCTTGACCTTTTCAAATGGCTAAGAGAATTTCACATTTGGATTCTGTTTTGCCTCTATTTTCAGGCTGCCATGTGTAAGCTTTATTTTGTAAAACGTGAGCTTGCAGCCCTGAAATGGGTATCATGAGTAGATTGAGATGTGAGAGTATGTCAGGATGTACTCACAGGCTTGGATGTTGGTGGGGCAGAAGAGGGACTCTGAGAATGTATGATCTGCTACTACTGTTTTTGGCTGAGTGCAAGCTTCCCTAGAGGATGCTCTGGTCAAGGGAGCCCTTTTCAATCTTCATCATTTCATTTCCCAGAAGACAGAGAATCCAGGCCCCATCTTGGTACTGGAGTCACTTCCTCTGGGACCTGTCCCCAAGCCCTCTTCTGTGCTTCATAGTTCCCTCTGCTTGCCTCTGTCGGACCACTTACCGCTACCCTGCAATTCTTTACTGACTTGGGTGTCTTCTCCAGAAGGTTGGAAAACCTATGAGGATAGGGACAGGTCCATTGTGTTCATTGCAATAAGCACCAGCTCCCAGCATACTGTGGACATTAGGTGGCTCTAGAATGAATGAATGAATGAATGGTTGGTTGGTTCTGTCCTTCTCAGAGGATAGATTTAAGTCTCCAGCTTGTGATAATGCTGCCAGGAAGGAAAGAGTTAAGCTATCTGGAGGGGACAGGTTCACCCAAAGACCCTTTTCCTTTTTTATTGGCAAAGGCAGGATAAATAATATATGAGATAAATCCTGGATGTAAAATCTTGACAATTTCAGGTGTTGGCTTGAGCTGCTTAAAACTCTGAAGGGGAAACAAATCAAATCATTTCAGGTTTTCTCTTACGTGTCCCTGAGATTCAGTTAGGAATGGAAGGCCAGGCCAGACCCAGGAATTCAAAGCTTGACCTACTTTGTCAGAAGCTAATAATAAGAGAGATGGATTGTTCCCTAACACTTTTTTTTTTTTTTTAAATAACCAAGGTCAGTGAAGTAGCTTGATAGAACATAGAATTAGGAGAATGAAGGCCACAGAGCAGCTCTGAGAGGTCTGTGTTTATCTGTGTTTTTTTCCTTTTCGCTATTTTTTTTTTCTTAAGTGAGAAAAAAAAAAAAATAAAACACCCTGAATTCCCACCGACATAAACCAGTGACATACAATGATGAAATTCTGTTTTCACCTCTGCCTGTGACTGGGAATGCAAAAATAGCAAGTGACCCAGTTCCACGAATCCCCGCCTCCCAGCCCTCCCCACTTGCGCGGCGTTCGGATCTCGAAGAATGGAGGTTGGTGCACAGCCCCGCCGAGCCGCGCTCGGCCTCCGGACCCCGCGGATGATGTCAGGCGGCTGGAGCGGCCGCAGCCCGGCCGGGGAGGCCGCGGCCCCTGGGCAGCCAGGAGGGCTGTCGGCTTCGCCGGGCCGACGGCGCGCCTGGCAGCGCGGCGTCGCCTGGAGACGGCCTTGGCGGCGCTGTGTTGCTGTAAACAGTCGCTTCCCTGTTACTATCTATAGCAGGATCGCCTGGCTCCGGGGCGCGGCGGCGCGAGGCAGGTCTGCCGCCAGGCTCTCCGCGCGCCGGGAATGATCATCCCGCCCCTTAACCCCGCCTAGTCCACCTCGCCCCTCTCCAGGTGCCCCCCGTGCGCTGTGACCCCCACGCCTCCTCCCGGGCCCAGGGCGAGGTGGCCCGGCCGCTGGGGGCTGAGCCGGGGCAGTGTGACCCCGGCTGTCCTTTGCGGCGGGGTCAGGAGGCTAGGGGCGTCTGGGGGCGAAGCGCTCTCCAGAACACCTGGCTTCCCCGAAGCTGCGTTTTCTGGGCCCGCGGCGCCGCGCCTGTGGTCCCATGGGCCGCAGTCTTCGGCCGGGGCGCTACTGGGCACGATCCTCCCAGAGCCTCCATCCTTCCCCCTCCAACTCCGCGCTGGAAAATCACCCGCTGCGGGCTTCCTGGCGGCACCGAACCAGCCAGCCGCCCCAGCTTCCTAACTCGGACTTGCGGTCCCCAAGAGACACACTTCACCCCGTTACCTAGAACAGACGCCCCTGCCCATGTCACATACCCCACGCCCAGCTCAGAACGAGACCATTGACCCCTTTAGACCTCCTTGCGTACAGGTTTTGCACAATATTTACCCGCTAATGTTTTAGGGATTTGACAGTAAATAAATAAATAAAATAAAAGGCACTGTCTTCTTTATAAAAGCAAAACGAAATGAAAGACCCAGCATCGTAGATGAAGTAGGTTGTCGTAGTCCCTTATTTGGGATCCCCGGACTTTCTGCTTCTAAACGCAGTAACAGTCCTAGGATTAGAGATCAAACCCCGGGGCCAGAGGAGAGAAGAGGGGGTTGGCTTCCACATGTGCACAGAATTGGGTTTGGAATTGCGGAGGCAGGTGTAGGCGCATTCCTTCTGGGCCTGAGACTTAATCCCTCGGGGTCATGTACCTGTTTCTCCCCTACCTGAGCCTCAGAACTAGCTCGGGGTTCTGGACAGCTGTCAAAGATGCTCCCTACCCCCACCCCGGGAACAAGGGTCCGCATTGACCCAGGTGCGAATGTTCGCTCGCGTTCCCCGCCTTTCACGCCCCCCCGTCCCCGGCGCGGCCCCCGCCTCCCCCCGCGCTGCACCCTCGGAGTTGGCTTCAGCCGGAGAGCAGTTCCCGTCAGTCCCTCCCCCCACAGGATGTCCATATTAGGACATCTGCGTCAGCAGGTTTCCACGGCCGTTCCCTGTGCCCATGGGGGGAGCCATCCCTAAATCCCATAATTTGGGGGCTAAGATACCCCTAAGACCCATATTTTTAAACGTCCATAGGATAAAATGATACAACAAGACCAAGAGGAGGGGCTACGAGCTCAGCGGAGGCGGCGAGGCAGCCTCAGTAGCACCAAGGCCCGGACGCCACCCCTCCAGCGCCGCGATGGTTTTGCCCGTGACGCCAGGCTCATTCATAAAATGCTTTATAAAAGCGACGTCTGCGGCGCCTCGTACTCCAACTGCATCTGCAGCAGGCAGCAGAGAAAGCGAGACGGAGCCGGCAGCGGCGGCCCAGCGAGCGAGCAGTCTCCGCGCTCCTACCCAGCTCTGCTCACAACTCCCACCTGTTTCCGCCCTCGGCCCCTCGCCCGCCTTGACCTCCCCGCGACCATGATGTTCTCGGGCTTCAACGCCGACTACGAGGCGTCCTCCTCCCGCTGCAGCAGCGCCTCGCCTGCCGGGGACAGCCTCTCCTACTACCACTCGCCTGCGGACTCCTTCTCTAGCATGGGATCTCCTGTTAATGCGCAGGTGAGGCTGGCTTCACCCCGCCGTGGGGTGCAGGACTTGGGGTCACCGGAGAGGAGACAACAGGGCAGGATTTTTTGGAAGATCAGTCGGGGTCTCCCATCGCTGGGGCGAGAGGTTGCCCTGGCTGGTGCAGCCCTAGCCTGGGAGCTCGGGACTTGTTCCGAGCGCACGCACACTTGTCATAGTAAGACTTGGTTCCCCCTTCCGGCGGCAGGCTCATTCCGAGCAGTCCCCGGCCCGAGCTCTGTGGCTGCATTTCTAAAGTATGCTGGGGCAAACATGTTCCACGCAAAGACTAGCCAACTTGAGCCTGGTTCCTCGGGGGAGGCGGCAGAAAACAGCAATTCCGCCCTCCCCCCTCCGGCAGCCTGGAGCGGGGAGGGGCGGGGAAAGAGGGTGCAGCAGGCGGGTGTGTAAAGCGGTTTCATTGATAAAAAGCGAGTTCATTCAGGAGACTCCGGAGCGGCGCCTGCGTCAGCGCAGACGTCAGGGATATTTATAACAAACCCCCTTTCAAGCAAGTGATGCTGAAGGGATAACGCGGACGCTGCAGCAGGATGGAGGCAGAAGGCACTGCGATGCGGAATTCTTGGGAGGAAAGGGGGGAAGGAAGACTTTTCATGCAGGAGGAAGGGCATAGAAGAGGGCATTGTTATGGTTCTCGCTGTCTCTTTTCCTGCTGCATGCGGCACTGGACCCACCTGTGTCTGGAACCTGCTCGCTCACGTCCGCTTTCCATTTCTGTTTCCTTTAGGATTTCTGCACGGACCTGGCTGCCTCCAGTGCCAACTTCATTCCCACGGTGACTGCCATCTCAACCAGCACTGACCTCCAGTGGCTGGTGCAGCCCACCCTTGTCTCCTCTGTGGCCCCATCACAGACAAGAGCCGCTCGCCCCTACAGAGTCCCCACCCACTCAGCTGGGGCTTACTCCAGAGCTGGCGTTGTGAAGACCACAACTGGAGGCAGAGCGCCAAGTATTGGCCGGAGGGGCAAAGTAGAACAGGTGAGGAGTTCATGGCCCCTTCTCTCTCATAGGGGCAGAGAGATGAGTGGATGGAGGTGCAGAGTGAAGCCAATGGTAGAATTGACTGCCCCATCTTGAATGGAGAACCTTGGCTCCAAGCCCTTTCCACCCCAAGCCAGACCTCAGGTAGTCCTACCCCCAGAAGTACCCTAGTAGTTTCTTCCCTAATAGTGTCCTATCTCATGCATTTACACTGGGTTTTCTTTGTGCTATTGCTGAGGATCTTATTTTAAATGCAAGTCACACCCAGCCTGCAACTGCAGGTTAGAAATGGCTTCATAGAAGAGGTGCCAGGAAGATGGGAAACTGCAGGAGCCAGTTACGCTGGGTGGGTGAACGGAGTGATGATAGACACCGTTTCTGACTGTTGATCTTCTGTTATTCTAGCTGTCCCCAGAAGAAGAGGAGAAAAGGAGAATCCGAAGGGAGAGGAATAAGATGGCTGCAGCCAAATGCCGGAACCGGAGGAGGGAGCTGACTGATACACTCCAAGCGGTAAGTAAGATATCATGAGTCCTTTTTCCAAACTTGAGAGGCAAGTTGGAGATTAGGTCTAAGGGGGCAGTGCCCTTGAGTAAGACAGGGTCTTATGCTTTGCTTTATTCCTTGTGTACAGGAGACAGAACAATTAGAAGACGAGAAGTCTGCTCTGCAGACTGAGATTGCCAACCTGCTAAAGGAGAAGGAAAAGCTGGAGTTTATCTTGGCAGCTCACCAGCCCGGCTGCAAGATCCCTGATGACATGGGCTTCCCCGAAGAGATGTCTGTGGCTTCCCTTGATCTTAGTGGGGGCCTGCCGGAGGCTGCCACCCCCGAGTCTGAGGAGGCCTTCACGCTGCCCCTCCTCAATGACCCTGAGCCCAAGCCCTCGGTGGAGCCTGTCAAGAACATCAGCAGTGTGGAGCTGAAGGCCGAGCCCTTCGATGACTTCCTGTTCCCAGCATCGTCCAGGCCCAGTGGCTCTGAGACCGCCCGCTCCGTGCCAGACATGGACCTGTCTGGCTCCTTCTATGCAGCAGACTGGGAGCCCGTGCACAGCGGCTCCCTGGGGATGGGGCCCCTGGCCACAGAGCTGGAGCCCCTGTGCACCCCGGTGGTCACCTGTACTCCCAGCTGTACTACTTACACGTCTTCCTTCGTCTTCACCTACCCAGAGGCTGACTCCTTCCCCAGCTGCGCAGCGGCCCATCGCAAGGGCAGTAGCAGCAACGAGCCCTCCTCTGACTCGCTTAGCTCCCCCACACTGCTGGCCCTGTGAGCAGTTGGGGAAGGGGAGGCAGGGGGCACCCACATATGCTGCTGCCTGAGTCAATGCATTACAGAGAGGAGAAACATGTCTTCCCTCGAGGGTTCCTGTAGACCTAGGGAGGATGTTATCTGTGCGTGAATCACACCGGGCTGTGGGCCTCAAGGACTTGAAGGCATCCCACATGTGGACTCGAGTCCTTACCTCTTCCAGAGATGTAGCAAAACGCATGGAGTGTGTATTGTTCCCAGTGACACTCTGAGAGCTGGTAGTTAGTAGCATGTTGAGCCAGGCCTGGGTCTGTGTCTCTTTTCTCTTTCTCCTTAGTCTTCTCATAGCATTAACTAATCTATTGGGTTCGATATTGGAATTAACCTGGTGCTGGATATTTTCGAATTGTATCTAGTGCAGCTGATTTTAACAATAACTACTGTGTTCCTGGCAATAGTGTGTTCTGATTAGAAATGACCAATATTAACTAAGCAGAGATATGACTTTATTTTCTAGTAGATAGAAATCAATAGCTATATCCATGTACTGTAGTTTTTCTTCAACATCAATGTTCATTGTAATGTTACTGATCATGCATTGTTGAGGTGGTCTGAATGTTCTGACATTAACAGTTTTCCATGAAAACGTTTTATTGTGTTTTTAATTTATTTATTAAGATGATCTCAGATATTTATATTTTTATTTTATTTTTTTTCTACCTTGAGGTCTTTTGACATGTGGAAAGTGAATTTGAATGAAAAATTTAAGCATTGTTTGCTTATTGTTCAAAGACATTGTCAATAAAAGCATTTAAGTTGAATGCGACCCAGCTTGTGCTCTTTTCATTCTGGTAGTTTTGTAAGGTTCTGAAAGGTACGATTTAAGACCAGTCTTTCAAGAAGGGTAGCTCCTGGAGGGGGACACACCTCTCTTTCTGATTCCTTATCAAAGAGGAGAAGGAAACTCTAGAGCTGAGATTGGAATATTTTACAATATTCACATCATGGTACTAAGATTCTCAGTATTCTAGGAGTGAGAACCTACTTCTCTTTCTGTTTTGATAGCCAAAGGGGAGCTTGTTTAAGTCCAGTTGTGCTATTAGTAAATGCAGATGTTTTGACCTTACTGACCCCTGTGTATTAAGCTTTTCACAAGTCACTTAACTTTTTACCCCCACAAAGTCATGTAAAGGGTTACTCCCACCTTACCACCAAAATCCATTCTAGTTAAGTTGATTCTGACTCATAGCGACCCTATAGGACAGAGCAGAACTGCCCCATGGAGTTTCCAAGGCTGTAATCTTTACGGAAGCAGACTGCCTCATCTTTCTCCTGAAGAGCATCAGGTGGTGGGTTTTAATAGCGCACCTTTTGGTTAGCAGCCGAGTGCTTTAGCCATTGTACCACCAGGGCTCCTATTCCCACTTTGAAGGGAAGTAAATTAAAGAATGGTTAGAACAAATGGTTCTCCCTATCATTATCAGGTTTAGAATGTTCACTTCCTCGCTTATTACTCTTTCCATCAGACATGTGCTACTTCTTATTATTTGGTAAAAAAAAGAAAATGTCTTCAGTCATTAACATGCATACATTTAGTTGAATTCTCTTTATTTTCAAAAGGGAAGGAGGGCTGAAGTCCTATCCCTTAGTAACAAGCCTGTGGTAATTTCTGTAGTGTCTTTAACACATATACCTGACATTGAGAGTGCGCTGGGGGAAGACATAGGAGCTCTGGTGGCCTTGTGCCTAAGGCATTTGACTGCTAACCAGAAGGCTGGTGGTTCAAACCCACCAGCCACTCCTTGGAAGGAAGGTTGGGCCATTACTTCCATAGAGATACCGCCTCGGAAACCAAGGAGGGGTCACTATGAGTCGGATCCGACTCAACAGGAGTGTGTTGCTTTTTTTGCTGTTGGAGGAAGACAAAGCTGGCCCTGAGAATTAGGAAGAAATCACAAACAATACAAATAATGACTGCTCATTGGGTTAAATAAAAAGTTACATAATAGTTCAATAAGGAGAAGTCAACACAATTCTGAATAAGCTTTAACTAAGAAACTTTATCGTCTTAAAAGAAGAACATGACCTTTGTCTTGGACAGCTCTGCTAATGGAGCACTTACATGCACATGCACGAACCATAAAGAAAGCTGGCACCCTTCCTGCCCTGCCCTCAGGTACCATGCGGGCACCAGGGTGCTTGAGAGCCAAGTATAGTGTCTGATAGGAGCTTTAATGCCAGTCTGGTGATAATTCTTGGTGATAATAAAAATTAGAGGGTGGTTATAGAGTGGCATGTGGGCAATCTACTTCCATAGAGATGCCACCTCAGAAATCCAAGGAGGGGTCTCTTTGAGTTGGATCCAACTTGACGGCAGTGAGGTTTTTTTTTAGCTCTGGTGTAGTGCCTAAGGCATTTGACTGCTAACCAGAAGGCTATCGGTTCAAACCCATTAACCACCCTGTGGAAGGAAGACCAGGCAATCTACTTCCGTAAAGATTTACAGCCTCGGAAACCCACTGCGGGTCACTACGAGTCAGATCAACTTGATGGCAGTGGTTTGTTTGTTTGTATACCCCTTAGGGAAACTAGCTGGCTCTCTGAAGCATAATAACAACCTGTGAAAAGAGATCTCCTAGGTGGAGAAGAGCAGGTGGACCTCCAGCCCTGGACACTGACCTAGACTAGTGGCCCTGGCAGGCCCGCCTTGACCATAGAAAGAGAGGACCTTGCTTTCCCTTTGACAGACCCATTTAGTTCACCACAGCCCAGCTCAAAACAGGCTGCTCCATCCACAAGACTGCATTACAAGTCCAAGGAATAGGACTTGCACACAGAGACTCCCTTTAACAGGTTTCTCAGAGGTTCCCCATAGAGTTGACAACCTGCCAAGCTCCATGCTGACTACCGGGACTCTCATGGGATCAGGAGAAGATAGGAATGCCTTCCCTCTCCAACCAAAGGGCTCTTCCCACATCTCCCCGTCCTGACCCAGGATTCAGCTCCTCCTATGGATGACTGATGCTCGGAATGTCAACTTCCCTTTGAGAGAGACTTGAACCTTCCCGACAAGATATCGACTCACATTAAGTCTCAATAAAGCAGATATCTCCGGGCTCCACCGTTTGTCTGATACAATAGGAACAGGTGTAATAGAAGGCTCTGGGACTAGAGATCAGAGGGTCATTTCCTTCCGGGGACCATGTGTGATTTAGCTCATCAGTGGACCCTCAGACCCAGCTCAATGCTTGGTACATGCAGTGTCAGATTACCCAATACGCAAGGTGAGCACGGGCTTACTTGTGCTTATTTACTAATCAATAGTGAAGAATTGTACTGTTTCCCACCACACCGGACATTCTGCTTCTAGGTGCAGCTAGAACCTGTCTCAACCCCAACCCCACAGCGTCTTCCTACAGAAACAAAGCCTCTTCCAATTTACAATCCATGAGAGGGATAGAGTACCCAGTTAGCAAGGTATGCACAGGTTTACCTGTGCGTACTTATTAATTTGTAGTAAACAGTTTCCCATGTTTGAAACTCATGTGAAACTGTTCACTACAGATTAGAAAATAAGTACAAATAAACCTGTGCTTACCTTGCTTAATGGGTAATCTGCCCCTGGGCACATGGTGTAAGGTTAATGAATATTTGTCCACTGAATGAATGAATAAATTCTACATGATTTCTATAAGCAGCAATATAAAATAGAAATTAATAGAATATAATAGAAAACCAAACCTGTTGCTATGGAGTCAGTTCCAACTCATAGCAACCCCACGTGTGACAAAATAAAACTGCATTCCATAGGGTTTTGAATGGCTGGGATCTGTCAGAAGTAGATTGCCAGGTCTTTGTTTTATAGCACCTCTGGTTGGATTCAAAGAGCCGACCTTTCAGTTAGTAGCCAGAGCATAAGCAGTAAGAGCCCCCACACTCTCAAATGCCTCCTCCCCCAGGCCCTATTGGGATGGTAAGCAGTGGGGATTTCTCACATCTTTTGTATCTGACTGTGAACATGCACCTTACTTCCATCATTGGCTCCTAGATTTCCTCCACTACCTCCCCTGCGTTACCTCCACCAATGCAGCTCCAGAGTGGATGCATCGCTTCCAGCTCCCAATTAATTTTAGATGAGAAAAGGATAGAAGACGAAAGAATATGTATCTCTGTAGGATAGTGGATGGTAGATCTGGTTGTCTCTGCACATCGCTGCATCTTGTGTAATTATCAAAATGAAAGGGTAGCACTTAACAATGTGTTCTATAATAGCAGTGATTTTGTATCAGCAGCAACTTTCCAAGTGTGGATGAAAGGAAATCAATTGGGCTATCTTTAATCAATGGACAGAGAAGAGACTGAAACAAAGCAAAAGTTCTCAGGTGATTACAGAGGAATGTTTCAACATTTTTCAAATAATAATAACAATAAAAAGCAGATCTTTAAACTGTGTGTAAGATTTCCTCCAAACACAGAATAATCCAGTCCCTCAAAAATAAGTGAGATGTGATGAGCACTGTTTGCCAACTGAGTCTCGAGCACTTTGAATTGTGCTGTTTTGCTGTTAACACTGGAAAGCTGATCCTTGACTCCTCTGCATCACCATCTGGTTTCCTCTCCCTACAAGCTCTCTGCTTGTGGGCCTTCCTTCCGGTCCTGACACATAGCACGCATGTTCCTGAGTCAGGGTCTTTGCACTTCCTGTCTCTCTGCCTGGGTCTCTTTCCCCAGGCTGGTCTTACCTGTCATTTTCAAGACATAACTCAAATGACATCTCCACTAAGAGGCCTTCCCTGGTTCTATGTGGTTCTACTGAGCTTGGTTCTACTTTGTGACACATGAGGTCTCCATGGGTCTGAGTCAACTCAATAGCAATGGGTTTGGTTTTTTTTTTTGCACCACTATCTACACAATTTTACATGCTCTTTAAACAATTTTTTCTGCCTCTATGGCCCCTAGTCACTCTTTAGGTCTGGAATTGAACTCACTCCTGTGGCTTCTAGCCAAACAACAGACAGACATAGAGGGTGAACAGTTACACCACGTAGGTTCACTCCTTAGAACAATCAGCCATGGGAGATCAGAAGGGCAGTATTTGCACAGGGAGATAGGTCAGAGGGCAGAAACACATAGGGAAGAAAGACACAGGGGAAAGGTAACTACAGGGAGGAAGTGGGCAGAGAGATGTTATATTATGGGGTTTGCAAGCAATGTCGTGAAACAAAATGTGTATGAACTGCCATCTAGAAAATGAATTTAATCTGTAAACTTTCACCCAAATCACAATAAAATAAAATTCTGCCTCTCACCACCGGACTGTGAGTTCCATGTGAACAGGCATCTTTTCTGTCTCCATCACTTCCGTATCCCCAGTGTCTATTAGGCACTCAACTGCTTGCTAAATGAATGAATGAACACAGATATGAAAATTACAAAGATTTCTAAAGGTAGATAACTAGAGCTTAAAAGTGAAGATAAATTGTGTACTTCACAGATTTCTCCCAGGGTGGAAGAGCACACCTCTTTGTTTAGCAAATCCCCATCA